TGGTTTTTTAGATTAATTTTTTAATCTACTATAATTATTTTATTCTTTTTAAAAAATATTCTTATAATTTTTCTTTTCACAAAAGATTGCATTGTCATCAGTTTCTAAGCTATCCTGAAAGTTTCAGCTTGCTAGCTAGTCGGGAAGTGAGCAAAATTTGAGTTGCAAAATTTGATCTGGACAAACAAACAGACAAGAAAGAGAGTTAATAAAAATGTGTTAATAATACCTCCCTCCAACTAATATTTCTTATACTATACCCTCACGCTGCCAATAAATAATTCCATTCAAAACTCGACACTCAAGTGAGAAAATGACCTTCAACTCAGTAATGTTCAGGAAGGATATAATTGGATTGTCAATCCAGCACATTTAAAAGAGCATCGACTCGGTCTTGGATTATGCGATCAAATCGATAGGTGCTGTACATGAAGTCTTCCTGGCCAATATTTTCCTGTATATAGTATAAGGAACTGTAGTGATATCACTTCACTGGTATTTGTTAAATGGTGCTTTGAGACTCTACATCCGTAACTTATTGACATTAAAGACATTCGGAAATCACTCATTTCCGATCGTTATTCAATACAAATTCCGGTAATGACCTCAGACTCAGATTATGTGAAGGACTTGAAGAACTGGAGCAAGGACTCACCTTGTTAACTCGCATCTTTCCACTTGCGAAGTGCAATGTTTTCGAATCATCTTTGCCCCATTATCATTGATTTCACGCTTGGAGAAGCAAGAAAACAAGTACAGCAGTACAACAATGCTTAAAATGTGTAATTATCACCTGAATATGAATGGTTTCGACAATTACAGCGTTTTCGCACGGACATTTCCGGTTGAATCATTCACAAAAATAAAGTTGAACGCTTTCATTTACAAAACTCGTTATGCACAGTCTATTCCGCTCGTCGATGAAATTGAGATGAAAATCGTATTGATTGGATTAATGCCAACAACATTCACCGGCGAGTGAAAAAAATCCCAAGTCACCGACATTTAAATGAAACGAAAAAATAGCGTTGAAAAACTACCGTACTTCATCATATCACTGCGAGGAATTCAGGTTAATTCCTGGTATAATGGCATGATTTTTAAATTTTCAGGTAGTCCACGGCCTGAAAATTTCAAATCCATTGAAAATCTTTTTCCCGGCTCCGATTATCACATTCAATTGAAAAAAGTGTTATAATTTTTGTGCGCGTAATTTTTAATATGGGAATAATTCATAAAATACTTTGCAAATCTTTTTAGCTACGATTTCCCATGTCTGATCATCATCATGTTTATTTTAAAAAATGTTATATAATATTCGAGATTTTCGTGCAGTGATTCTGAATAAGAAAGTTCTCAAACATGCGAATTATTAAAAAAGAAATTGCCCAGTTCAGGGATGCTGTTGAAAAAAAAGTCCCGGAGAAAAAACGTGTGCGATTCTCAGCTCTCTTTTCTGCCAACCATTCATTTCCAAGAAATGGCACACTTGACCTCAATGCGCGACAAAATTAAAAGCTGCATATTTTTGCGGTCCCCATGTACAAGTTCCTCGGAACGATTCGGCTC